TGCTACATTTTCTCTATCTCTTATTATTTTTCAATATTAAAGGGACAACACCAACTTAAAAACACACACTCTTCTTTTTGGGGATGCTTTCCCTACCATAGTATTGTTCACTGTATGTAAGTGATGGGAAATGGCTCCAGAAATTATGCCAAACCAAAAGTATGCAATCGATATGCAGTCCTCCTAAGTGGCATGGAAGAAAAATACTTTGGAGGTATAAAAAGGTCAGAGTTTCTGTAACAATGTGGCAGTTTGAGCAATGGTCTCCCAAATACACCTGTGCCCCTCTGCAACTAGACCTAGATAGCCTGTGTCTGAACTGCACTGTCTGCCTGTGAAGACCAGGAGCTACTAGGGGCAGGGACTTGACTTTTGGCTGATCCTAAACGTGAAGAGTTGTAGAGCGCCAGTGAGGGCAAGTCGCCCTTACGGGGGGGGGCAGAGGGAGTTCCCAGGCCAGGCTGAGCACACTAGGTGGCCTGTTTAACCAGCCTTTGAGGATATCCCTAGCAGAGAGAACTGGACCGACTCAGGCTGTTCTAAGGGGCAACCTGAACACAGAAGTAACTTCCGTGGCCCCTAGGAACCTACTGAGCGGGGCCTGGCGAGCACCCACCTTACCCTCTGGGAGCAGCTTCTTTCCCCGGGGCTGCAGGCCCTTCCCCTCCGCCGGCTGCCAGCGCTGCACGCTCCGCGCGTGGCCATTGTGACCTTCACGGGCAGCCCGGGCGCTGTGAGTCACTCAGGATAGGGGCGGCGGAGGGGCGCCGCGGCCCCAGCGCCCAGGGGAGGGTCACAAAGGGTCGTTCCCCGGTTCAACCAGCGGCTTGGCTGTTACTGAGCATGCGTCAGCTACCTGGGCATGCCCACAGTAACATCGGCCGAAGCTGGTGCCCTCCGCTCTCTCGGGTGGCGGCTGCTCTGACTTGCGGTTGCAGAGTGAACCGGGCTGCGCAGGGGGTGGGGCTGGGCCGAGTGTGTTGCAAACTGAATGCACAGGACCACACACGTGGAGGCAGGGGACGGAGGGAGGCGGATCAGCAAAAACAGGAGTGCCCCCCCCCCCGTCCCTCACACTTTGCTACCCCTGAACCAGTCACCAGAGGCGCGGAGAGGTGGCGTGGCAAGGCAGCAAAAGAGAATACTTGCTCCTGGCAGCAGAGCGTGCAGGGAGCGGTTGGGTAGCACCATACTGCTCACGGTGTCACTGCCACAGCAAGCAGCTCCTGCTCCCACTGAGTTGGAAACCCCACTCCGCACACAGGGGTCTTGGAGCTGCGGCTTGGGATCGCTAGCACCGGGGAGCAGCCAGAGGCGTCAGTGGGAAGGGGACCGGGACTCAAGTCAGCCTGGCAAGGAAGGATAAACAGTGACGTTGGGGCTAGAAGAGGCATTTAGATTTACAGGAGTATATTCCCACCAGTACCGGGTTGGTAGGTAATAAAGGCAATCTGGCTGAGGCTGAGCTGCCTGGCCATGATTTCCGTATTAAAATACCTGATAGCTTAGCTCGATATTCTGGACTTCTTTGATGGAGTTGAACAAACCTCCAGAGCGGCAGCATTAATTGCCTCAATGTTGCTGGATTTACCAGGCGTGTGGGGTAAATGCAGGCAAACTGCTTGCCCTGGCGCACCTTTTAAGTTGAATGGCAAATCTGTACATCAAAGGAACATTGCTGCCTTCTCCGACTCCACGGGGGATGAGAGGATGGCAGGCAGGAAAGGAGGTAAACACCTTGGCTGAGTAGAACTGAATCCTAAAGACAGGTGGCTCCTTTCTGATTTATTTTTTGCTTGCTCCTATTCCTCCCATCAAAGAACCATCATCAATCTAAAGCAGTGGTTCTGAAACCCATTGCCCAACCAGCACACAGTTGCAGCCCATGTGACATCAAGAGCCATGGTGTATAAATCAGGGGTTGGCAACCTTTCAGAAGTGGTGTGCCGAGTCTTCATTTATTCACTCTAATTTAAGGTTTCGCGTGCCAGTAATACATTTTAACGTTTTTAGAAGGGCTCTTTCTATAAGTCTATAATATAGAACTAAACTATTGTTGTATGTAAAGTAAATAAGGTTTTTAAAACGTTTAAGAAGCTTCATTTAAAATTAAATTAAAATGCAGAGCCCCCCGGATCAGTGGCCAGGACCCAGGCAGTGTGAGTGCCACTGAAAATCAGCTCGTGTGCCGCCTTTGGCACCCCTGCCATAGGTTGCCTACCCCTGGTATATATAGTGTGGATTCAGCCCACCATAACACATGGAGAGCTGCTGCTGCATATGTGGCCCACAGTGGTAACTAGGTTGAGAACCACTGATCTAAAGTTGATGGAGAAATTTTAAACTGGACTTGTTGACATTTTTAAATGTCTCCCACTGTCACCTCAGTGTCTTAATCCAAATTCTAACTCAGGTCATTTTACTTGTCTTACCTAAATTCTCCCTGCCATTTCAGATGAATGTAGTACTTTTCTTTAAGTTTGTAGTATGCTGTTAACCAGCTGACAATTCTACCTCTAAGGCACTTAAACTTCAGTGATGGGTGAAGTGACCAGTGTTTTAAGTCCTTGGGGTCCCCTGGTGATAGGTCCACTGGTGAAACACATGACATTATGCCATTGTCATATCATTGGCTTGTCCCCTACCATTCCTGAAAATCAAAAGTTAACTTGCCTGCCGCAAAGTAAAGGACTAAATCAATGGATTCTCTACAGGGCTATTACTGTTTGGTGCAGAATACCTCAATTTTTCAAATTAATGCTGATGTCAATGGAAGTTGAGGGCTCTCAGCATCTTATTGGTTTGGGCTATATAAGAGAATTAAGCCCTCAAGAGGACATGACGGTCCCTTTTTTATTTCCTTTCCCTTCAAGCCCAGTGATAAAATAATAGTCTTTCTTCATGTCTGATGTGTTGAAAGGCCTTGGTTGATCATAAATTTGAGGAGAAGGCAACTTCTTGGAGACGAGGATTTAGTTTTACAACTGGCAAGTATGTTACCATATAAAAGAAATAGAAAACAACCAGTTAAAATACACTTAAAATACTTCACATAAAACCTTCACCCGACCCTACCCACAAAATTGTACACGCAAACCAGTTAAACAAAATACCTAAACCCTGATAGTATGATGTTTTCAACCTCTCAGTTCTCATTCCATCTATGATGTTTAAAAGTTGTTCCAGTGGTTTTTGCTTTATTTTTGTAAAGACAACATTCCTTTCTGCCCCAGTGAACCCAAACTAAACCATTCTTGTTTCTATTTGAACATCAGTTGGGAGTGAACTTTTTCCAAATATTAAAGATACAACATTAAACATAAAACAGGGTTTCCTGCTGCCTTTCTTGAAAGAGTTAGCACGCAAGAATACCTCCCGAGACATTGGAAGCTTTTGGTGAAGGATGGGTATATCAAACTTTGAATCGTAACATCTAAGACAAAAACAACAAGGAGTCTGGTGGCACCTTAAAGACTAACAGATTTATTTGGGCATAAGCTTTCGTGGGTAACATCAGCTTTCAATATGGGTCCAAAAGTCTCTGGCAACCTCTGGTGAAGGGTAGATTAGCTGGTCATAAGCTGCTGCACCAAATACATCCATAATCTTAAGGGGATGGAGAGGGTATTTTCCCTTTTTTCCCAGTTGCATAAATGTTTTTAAAGTGGTTCTTGAAAACCGTAAGAGCCTTTGCCATGTATTAAAAATGCAAAAATAAATGAAGCTCCCCAAAAGCAGAAAAGAAAAAGTCCCAATGTAGCTGCAGATCTCCACCCTAGTTATATGTATCCTGACCCTTGGCTTATTCCTTTCTCCTCAAAACTCTGGGAAAAGAGAGATGGCTTGCAGCGTGCCCTTAACATCAACTGATTTGGATTATTTCGGACTAAAGGAGGGAATGAATTCCAAAGTCTAGGGCCCGTCATGGAAAATGCCCTATCAGCAGGGAAAATGCCTCTCAAGCCAAAGGGTCTCCAGTTGTCATGGAAATGCTTGTGCTGTCACAAATCCATCTGACTTTGAGATAGATATATGAGAAAGTAGGAGGAATAGATAGGACTTTGAGGGATAAACACTTCATTTAAACATGATTTATTTTATAATTATCAAAGGTTGTTAGCAAAATAAAAATATGAAACAGGGAAAAAAATCACTTTTAGGAAGGATACATTTTCATATGTGAAAGAGCAAACAGATTCCAGTGAAACAAGGCATTCAGCCCAGCAGTCATCCCACATAATATTATTTGTTTTGTTTTTTTCATTCTGATTAAGTTACAGGGTGAGTCAATAGATTTATAGATTTTGTGCCAAGCACTTAGAGTTTCGTGACTTTTCAAGGCTGATATAAACTAAGGGTTGTTTCTCCTTTTTCACAGTCCATAAATTTGTTACAGAAAAATATTTTAAAGAATTGTACGTTTTCATCTATGCAAACTGGACTTCAATCCACATCTAGACTCCTTGTGATAAAGACCTTTATTTTATACAAAAGTATTGAGATGCAAAACACCTTTACAACTCCTACAAAAGTGAAGTATAAGCAAAAATATCAATTATGACCTGTACTCATAACTTTACAAAAGCATTTATCAGTTATATTGACTGCATAATTGCAGTTATATTAGTCTTTTGCAAACAAATGAGACCTACTGTGTATTGCCATATTTATTTAAAAAATCATATCTCCATAACCCATAAGTAATTTATGACCTTGTTTCCAAAGGGATCTTTTAAAGCAACAGAACACTAAACGTTTAGATACTATCAGCAACCTAACATCAAATAATATTCTTACACAAAAGATAAAGTTGCATTAAGAAATTTCACCTATATATTTCAAATTTATTAGAAAGGTACAGTATTTAGCTTGAAAATAAATTTTGTTATTCCTTGGTCCCTACAGCTGGAGCTATAGCACTGTCTACAAACTGCTACAGTTAAGAAGCTTTAAATCTAACAGTTGATTTATTGTATTCTATTCTACTTGCTGAATCCACCTTACTGAGCCATCTGTACCACAACAGCTTTCCAGGCTTTGTCTTTGTCAAAATCCTTTATGGTATTATTGGAAACCTAGAAGCAAACAGGTTTCAAACAGTGTTTCAGTTAATGATTAAAGCAAGTAAATATGCAGGAGAACACAGAAATAAGAATGTGGGCTGATTTATTAAAACTTATAAAAATGTTTTCTATTTTGCATTTAATTAGTGGCTTTCATCCTGAAGAATCCTAAAACACTTCAGAAATCATAACCATACAGCATCACTGAAGTGAAGCCACCCTAGGGTCGAGTGCATCAACTCACTGATGCACAACACATTGCCAAGAATGGCCAATATGGAAATTCTGGCTAAGGACACTGGGACAAATCCCTATTTTTACAGAAGTGCCATAGGATCTTTAATATCCATGCACCCAGATTCATGGATTCCAAAGCCAGAGGGATCCATTGTGGTATTTAATCTGACCTCATATAACATAGGCCGTAGCACTTCCCCAGAATAATTTCTTTTGAACTTGAGTATATATTTTTTTTTAAATCCAATCTTGATTTAAAAATTGCCAGTGATGGAAATCCACCACGACCCTTGGTAAATTGTTCCAATGGCTAATTACCCTCATTGTTAAATGTTTACATCTTATTTCTAGTCTGAATTTGTCTACCTTCAACCTTCAGCCATTGGATCCTGTTATACCTTTGTCTTCTAGATTGAAGAGCCCCTATCAAATATCAAATATTGATCCCCATGTAGGTACTTACAGACTGTTGTCAAGTCGCCACTTAAAACCTTTTTGTTAAGCTAAATAGATTGAGCTCCTTGAGTCTATCTTGATAAGGCATGTTTTCTAATCCTTTAATCATTCTCATGGCTCTTCTTTGAACCCTCTCCAATTTATCAACATCCTTCCTGAATTTTGGACACCAGACCTGGACACAATATTCCAGCAGCGGTCACACCAGTGCTAAAAACAGAGGTAAAATAACCTCTCTACCTTTACTCAAGACTTCCCTGTTTATGATCATATTAGCCCTTTTGATCATATTAGCCTTTTTGGCCACAGCATTGCACTGGGTGCTCATGTTTAGCTGATTATTAACCATGACCCCCAAATCTTTTTCAGAGTCACCGCTTCCTAGGATAGAGTCCCCCGTCCTGTAAGTATGGTCTACATTCTTTGTTCCTAGATGTATACATTTACATTTAGCCGTATTAAAAAACATATTGGTTGTATATGCCCAGTTTACCAAGCAATCCTGATTGCTCTGCATCAGTGACCTGACCTTTTCATTATTCACCGCTCCCCCCAATTTTTGTGTTATCTGCAAACTTTATCAGTGATGGTTTTATGTTTTCTTCCAGGTCATTATTAAAAATGTTAAATAAAGTAGGGCCAGGAGTCGATCCATGAAGGAACCCACTAGAAACACCAGCTCAGTGTTGATTCCCTGTTTACAATTACATTGAGATATATGTTAACCAGTTTTCAATCCATTTAATATGTGCCATAGTAATTTTTTATTATTTTCGTTTTTTAATCAAAATGTTATGTGGGTACCAAGTCAAATAATTTACAGAAGTCTAAGTATATTACATCAGCACTATTACCTTTATCAACCAAACTTGTCATCTCATAAAAAAAAATCTCAAGTTAGTTTGACAGGATCTATTTGCCATAAACCTCTGTTGATTGGCTTTAATTATACTACCCTCCTTTAATTCATAAAGTAGGACTTTGGTTTTTAAGATTTCAGCTGAAAACCCTACACAAAGAAGTAAACACTTGGAAGCAGGGCTTGTTCTGTGTTTGTACAGAACCTAGCACAATGGGGCCCTGATCCACGACTGAGGCTCTTAGGTGCTATTGCAATACAAATAATAATAACTATAAAAGACAACTCAGTTTTACCTCATTTGAAAAGATGATGAAGCTTACTCAGCCTGGCTGGGATTCAAATGTATTGTTCCAGGGAATTTAGGAATATTAATTCATATATATATAATATGATTATATGCTGTATTTTGAAAGTTTTGCAATATATATATATGTAGTTATTTTTGTAATAGATAGATATAGATAGATACAACATTTTCAAAATAAAATCATTGAATAATCTGACATTTTAAAAATAACAATCAAAACAGGTTATAGGTATTATGAAAAGTTCTAAACATCTTCTGTCTTTAACATTTTTCTTTTAAAAATATTTTTTTTTCCTAAAAAAGAATCGATAAGCACTTCAGTGCTGCCTCCTGTAGCTGGTATGGGGAACAAAACACAGCTTCAAAGCTGCCACATGTACTAGGTAGGTAGACTGGGAAGTGGCAGTGTTCCACTGGAGCAGAAGTGGGTGCTGCTGAGTGAAGTGTTAACAGCTATAGAAAAAGAGCACAGTCCTTAGTGTTTGGAAGACCTGAATGGAGGTTGGACTTGGATAGAGACATTTTTAATTCCAATGGCTGTGCTTGTGTTTGTATCCAGGGAGGCTCCTCTCCAAGAGACCAAGCAGCAGTAACTTTAAATCAGTTCAACCACGGTGAAACCTCTGTGTTGTTGACCACCTCAGAAGTTGCTTGGGAACTAGACATTCAGGGAGTACTGCATGTGCTGAACACATGCTCCAAAATATGGAGTAAGATATCCTCTGTATTAATTACTTAAAGCACACACAGTGGAGCCCAAGTCCTGGTCACATCATACTGAGGAGGACAAGAACATTGTCAAGAATTTAGTAGACTTGCTGGCTGCAGCTGAATAGGAAGTGCTCCCCTGGCTTCAGGACATGACCAGCTGTTAGCCATTGTCGAGCTTATCTTTGGGTGAAGGTCAGCTCTGGCAGGGGAAAGTGTGTCACAAGGATGGCCCTTTAAGGGGAGTTAGATGCCCAGCCAACCTCAGCTGCAAGGAGGTGCTTGGGAGGTGGCAGTGCCCCTTCTACACTATCCTTCAGAGAATGCCACATTAGAGGCTTCAGTAGGAACCTGCAGCATGTGATTAATAATAAAACATCTTTATTAATGAAATAGCTATTACCTATTTTATGCATAATGGGTCAGATCCCATTTATTCAGGAAAATATATCTCACTGAGCCAACAAAGTTATCAGATGAGGAGTTCAGCAGACCTTAGACAAACTTCAGAGCTCGCAGAATCCAATGGGACTCATCATATTACACTCACCATACACATTTATTTGTTATCCAAAAAGGCTTGTATGCATATAGTCCTTCTACACTAATTTTGTATTAGCACCAAATTCTCATAAATATATTGGCTCACTCTTAATTCTACTAAGTCCCGATATATTTCCATAATATTTTTTTCTGAATAGAAACAGCCAGCAAAAGAGGACATTTATCTGTTTCTTTTAAATTAGTTTAATTAATTTGCTTGTGAAAGGTGCCAAATGGACAGAACTGAAGATTACTGTACATTTCCCCAGAACTGATACAGGACTAGAAATGCAGTTCAGGATTCCTCACACTGTTTAATATCCTCAACCCTAACCTCGAGTGACCAGAGCATAGATTTAGTCACAGCCTGATTTGATCCTTGGTTTCTTTGCTGATACTTCTAACAAGGGTGCCAGTAAGTGGGTTTTTGGTTGTTGGGGTTTTTTTTGTTTGGTTTGGGATTCTTTTGGCTGGCACACTAGGAACCTACCAAGGGTAGCAGTGGATTCTCCATCACTGGCAATTTTAAAATCAAGGTTGGATGTTTTTCTAAAAGATATTCTCTAATTCAAACACAGCTATCGGACTTGAAGCAGGAATTAACTCAGAGAAGTCCTATGGCCTATGTTATGCAGCTCAGACTAGATGATCACAAAGGTCTTTTCTGGTCTTAAAATCTATGAAGGTCACACGGAAAATCTATGACCTAGGCAGGAATATATCCCAGATCTTGATCTTAGTAATGGGCTTCAATCTCAAGGCCTTTCTTCCTCTCAAGCAAACAGCTGGCCTTACCCACAGAAGAAATGTGCAGGGCTGGTGGCTAGAAATAACAAGCATTTTACTTATAAACTGAACAGTTCATTCTGGAAGTAACTGAGAAACAATAAACCTGGAACCCAGCAAATCATTTTTACAGTCACTCTTCATAAGTGTTACCACTCTTTAAGGTTTCCGTGTCCCATTACCAGTCTGTTATACACAGAATATCTCAAGTCAACTAAGAAAACTATTACTGTACTGAGTATCCTAATTTAACCAGGAAAATAAGTCATTCAGGGTGAAATTCAGTCTTAGCATGAATAAATACATCCCTTACATTTTTAAAGGGCAATTTTAGGTGATAATTGGGAATACGTTGCTCAAATATTATAAAAATCATTCACAAACTATAGATATTATAAAATTATAGTCAGATATTAGACGCTTACCTCCATTGTTCTGTACTCCTGTTTATTAATCTGTGGCATTGCCCAAGATGAATCATGCAGCTTCATTTTTGTCTTATAACTTACACACTGGATGACAGTGCCAATGGTAAGCATTGCCTGAATTAACAGCATCAGCATCAGAAGTAACAGAAGTATATCATAAGATTGCTAAAAATAAAAATGTATATAAGTTGTTAGGTATTTAACTATCATACCTGTCTTTTCTGCCTTCTCTCACTTCATATTTTCTGGAGTTCTCCCACAGTTTACATGTCTCAGTATGACACCTTATTTTTTCTCTAGCTGACTGATAAAACACTTGTTGTTTTGGAAAACTAAACTGCATTGAAAAGTCTTGAACAGAGTTGGGTGAAATTTGTTAGTTTTAGTTTGGTGTAAATCATTCACTTTCTATTCACATATCTTTGACTACCTGGGCATGAAGCCCACAGGAAACCTGAGCTGGTGCAGAATGTAGTAGTACATTTCCTCAGCAACACAGGCTACTGGGATCTACAAACTCTATTAATTTTTCCCCAAATCAAGCTTTGAATGAATCCAAGTGTTTACAGGTGAACATTTAGCACTCTATCCCACTGTGCCACTTACTGGTAGGCATCCAAGGAAATGAGTTGAAAGTTTAGAACTTTGAAGTTTGTTAGCCACAATTTTATGAACACTTGCTGAGCTGTTATGGAAAAGTTCTATGGAATTTAAATAAAAAATAATTACCTTCTTATAGGTTATTTTTAACCATTCTATAGAATTTGATGGAGAACTATAACCCTGTTATAGTCTTCTATAGGATGGTTCAAAATAACTATAGAAAGGATAGTTTTAGGATGTTATATAAGTTTTTAGAGTAATTTCCAGAACATTTTAGTCATTCTCCGTAATACAGCTCTCTATATTCTTATGATACATAACTCATAATACTCTTTATTTACTCCATCTGAATTGCTACTTGGTGGATGCTAATTTTTCAAAAGAGTAAAATACGTACTTTAACTCCTGGTGGATAATTTTTAAAGATGTCAATAACTCGCATGATACTGAAGGATAAGTATCCAGAAGCAGTGAACAACAATGGAGAAGTGACACTGCTTATAGCAATCAGGACCTCAACCTAGTTAAAACAAGATATTAAACTTTAAATTAAGATGTTAAACTTCTGTTAAATAAATAAAAATAAGAGCAAATAGCATTGGTTCTTGATTCCACTTCTGCCTGCAGCAAGTGTAATGGGAGTGTGTGGTAAAATGATATAGAAAGGACCCAGTCTGCAAGCCATTCATACTCAGATCTCTTCTCTAATTATGTACAGAAGCAGGAATTCAAATAAATGAATATTCACTATGGAGGCTAAATTCTACTAGCTAAGAACTCTATTGCTTTGTAGAACATTTAAACTCATTTCCATTCAAAGTTCAAGAGGGTTGTTGTATTGTTTTGTTTTGTTTTGAATATGTCTTTCAAGTACAGGCAGAGGAAACAAAAATGGATTAGGAGGGCTAGCATGGAAGGGACACTATTATTTTTTTCATTTACATGAAACAGTGAGAATTACAGCCAAACATTATGTGATCTATACATGCTAAATAACTAAACCAACAGATTCTGGTGGTTTCAGGTAAGTTTCCTGATGACAATAATGGGCTGGTTTTCATTCAAAGATAATTCTGTAGGGTCAAATTCTGTTTCAATTACCGCCATAGATCACTACTGTCTTAAGTGTGGCTGCATGGGTCTAACTGAGAACAGAATTTGGACTACTAGCTGTTTGGTGAGGCAGACCCATTTTGTGCCCCTGCTGACTCTCCTTACCATCTCTGTAGTAATGTCCACAACTTCCCCTGAAATATCCAGTACAAATAAATATTTTGTACATTTTAATCAATTAAAAATCTATTTTGTTTAATGCACTAATGGTATATTGCATGAGGAAAGCCAATTGAACTCTATTTTAGTACAATTAACTTTATAAGTACAGAGCCAAGCACTCCATTAGCCTCATTTCTTACAGTATTAATTGAGTATTCCAAGGACCCCTGACATCTATTTTGTTATATTTAGTATATAACTTTTTATGGTCACTTTACAGTGAACATATATTAGTTGTATGATTATCACCAAAGGACTTTATTCATAATATTCCATTATAGCACAATATCTGAACATTGCACATATACTTACCAAACATTTACTGGGATATTCAGCAGCTACATGACTTGCAATGGCACTTGGAAAGCACTGAAAAGAACACCAAGACATTAGAAAACATTAAGAACTAGGTCCTCGGCTGGTGTAAATTGGCATAGCTTCATTGACTGCAGTGGAGCTACATTTAATCGCTGAGAATCGGGTCCTCAGTTTGCTCCAACTGATGTGAAATTTTGTTATAAAGTTATAATTTTGTATAATACTGTATAGGCAATATTTATGGTACACCTCTACCCTGACATAACGCTGTCCTTGGGAGCCAAAAAAATCTTTTCGTGTTATAGGTGAAACCGCGTTATATCGAATTTGCTTTGATCCGCCGGAGTACGCAGTCTCCCCATCCCCCCGGGACACCGCTTTACCGTGTTATATCCGAATTCATGTTATATCAGGTCGCGTTATATCAGGGTAGAGGTGTACTAATTTAATGGGGAGAAAAATTACCTCAAAAACTTTATTGCCATTAATGGAGTGTTCTGTACTACTAAATCTATACCTATCAAGATGAGACTATTACCCACGTAGCCTAAGTCAGTAGGTCTTCCATGTGCTAACATCCTACTGAGCTTGAATTTAGCACACTAAAGGATTCTGGGTGAATTCATCCAGGGACTGGTGTCCCTCTCCATTTTGTGCTGAGGAGATTGCCAACCACCGGATCCATGTAAGCATGGACCCAGTGGCTTCTCCACTACCTGTCCCCTCAGTGGAATGGAGGCATGCACAGTTACCCCCTTATGAATCTTCTTCTCCTATCTGCAGCTCTCATTATGTTGTTATCATCATGAAGGTGAGGTGAATGTCCACCACCAATTACTGGCAGGTTCAAGTATGTAATTGGGACAGCCACTTAATCAAGATGATAGGCTGACAATGGCATCCTAAGGATTTTATTGTAGTGAAATTCAACCCAGATCTTAATTTTGCAGACCGAAAGATGGTATTTTAAAAACATGGACCTGTTTAGTAAAGAATAACCCCTTTAATAGCCTTATTTTATTGCTGATTTCAATGGGAATTTTACCTAAGTAAGGCACTTACATTCTAATACAGTGTTGTAAATCAAAAAGCAGGCATGTTAGATAATCTAGCACTGTTGTTAAAAAGCATTAATTTTTTGTAAAGCAGTGATTGAAAATTAATTTGAGAACCAAATAAACATCAGGCTTAGAGAGACAATGTATAAAAAGCTACATTTAATAGTGTAGTACTTACAGCCACTAAGATCCAAAAGAATGTTACTGAAAGGTATGGACCTGAGACTAACACATCCATATTCAAAGCAATTATTCCACCAAATACTGCAGAAATTCCAATAATCACTTCAATTACCTGAAAAAAATGAGAGCACCAAAATAATTAGCAATGAATTTGACTACGTTTTTACAGTCATTTCAGTTGTGTAGGTAGGATGTCTCAGGCCTGGTCTACACTAGGAGGTTATGTCAAATTTAGCAGCGTTAACTCGAATTAACCCTGCACCCGTCCACACAACGAAGCTATTTAGTTCGACATAGAGGTCTCTTTAAATCGATTTCTGTACTCCTCCCCGACGAGGGGAGTAGCGCTAAATTTGACATGGCCATGTCGAATTAGGGTAGGTGTGGATGGAATTCGACGCTAATAGCTCCGGGAGGTATCCCACAGTGCACCACTCTGTTGACGCTCTGGACAGCAGTCCGAGCTCGGAGGCTCTGACCAGCCACACAGGAAAAGCCCCGGGAACATTTGAATTCCTTTTCCTGTCTGGACAGTTTGAATCTCATTTCCTGTTTGGACATCGTGGCGAGCTCAGCAGCACTGGCAACGATGCAGAGCTCTCCAGCAGAGGTGACCATGCAATCTCAGAATAGAAAGAGGGCCCCAACATGGACTGATCGGGAAGTCTTGGATCTGATCGCTTTGTGGGGCGATGAGTCCGTGCTTTCGGAGCTGCGATCGAAAAGACGGAATGCAAAGATCAATGAGAAGATCTCAAAAGCCATGACAGAGAGAGGATACAGCCGGGATGCAACGCAGTGCCGCGTGAAAATCAAGGAGCTGAGTCAAGGGTACCAGAAGACCAAAGAGGCAAATGGATGCTCCGGATCCCAGCCCCAGACATGCCGTTTCCATGAGGCATTGCATTCCATTCTAGGTGCGGCCGCCACCACTACCCCACCACTGACCGTGGACTCAGAGGATGGGATATTGTCGACGGCCGCTTCCTCGGAGATGTTAGCGGACGGGGAAGATGAGGAAGGAGATGAGGAGGACGAGGCAGTCAACAGCGCTTACAACGCTGATTTCCCCGACAGCCAGGATCTCTTCATCACCCTCACAGAGATCCCCTACCAACCGTCCCCAGGCGTTAACCCGGACCCTGAATCAGGGGAAGGATCAGTCGGTAAGTGTTTTAAACATGTAAACATTTATTTTGAACAGAACAGGAACTTTAACAATGGGTTTTTTATGATTGGTTTGCCCTAGGCGCTTAATGTTTAAGTCCTTGGCAGTGCAACTACTGCAAAAGAATCTAACAATGTCCGGTTTATCATGATTAGTTTGCCCTAGGCGCTCTACTTTTCAGTCCTTGCCAGTGCAGCTACTGGAAAATAAGGTCTATATGTCCGGGGATAGAGCTGAAATCCTCATGGGACATCTCCACGAAGTTCTCCTGGAGGTAATTGGAAAGCCTTTGCATGAGGTTCCTGGGGAGAGCGGCCTTATTGTGTCCTCCATGGTAGGAAACTTTTCCGCAACAGGCTATCATCAAGTACTCTGGTATCATTGCCTTGCAGAGCATGGCGACATACGGCCCTGGTTTTTGCTGGCTTTCACACAGCATGCGTTCTTTCTCTGTCTCAGAAATCCTCAGCAGAGTGATGTCGCTCATGGTGACCTGCTTAGAATTAGGGGAATGTTACTATTGGGACTGCTTGCCTGTTCCTTTACAGAACTGTAACCGGCGGTTTACAGCCACGCGGTGGAGGCGGGAGAGGGGCAGCATACAGGGATCTTTCCCGGGGACAGCCGCGAAGGGGGTGGGACAGGGGCAGAGTTCATGCTTGCCGGATTGCCGGCAGCAGGAACTGGCCAACGCTAGGAGCATTGCTTTGAACGTGAAAGGAAGGCAATGCTATAATTTAAGTTTTAAGCAGCCAAAAGTCTACGGCTTACCATGTCAGCCTGCTACCCGAATTCCGCTGTACTGCCCCGCTTGTCTGATCTCCACTGCAAGACCCCAGGCACTGAATACGAAGGCTGAAAATTCGACCTTGTCCTGAGTGCGCATGTGATAGGTGCTGTGCATGATCTTGTTCACAGAGAAAGACTATGTTCATTGTTCACAAAAAATTATCTTTTTGAGGAATTCACTCCCTTTTTCCCATCCCACAGCTGCGACTGTCTCCCGACCTACCCTGGCATCCCCCTCCCAGAGGCTGGCGCAGATTAGGCGGAGAAAGAAAAGGACACGGGACGACATGTTCTCAGAACTTATGGGCTGCTCCCGAGCCGAGGCAGCCCAGCAGACCCAGTGGAGGGAGAACATGTCGCAATACCAGCGATCAAACATTGAACGGGAGGAGAGGTGGCAGCAGGAAGACCAGCAGGCGACTCAAACGCTGCTTGGACTAATGAGGGAGCAAACGGACAAGCTCCGGCGCCTTGTGAATGTTCTGCAGGACCAGAGGCAGGAGGACACAGCCCCACTGCAGTCTCTGTCTAACCACCCTCCCCCGCCACAAAGTCCCATACCCCCCTCACCCAAAGTCCCAAAAAGGAGGGGCGGCAGGGGCCGTGAAAACTGTCACTCCACCCCTGCAGACTGCTCGAGTACCAGAAGGCTCTCATTCCCCAAAATTTGATAAGTCCTTTCCTTCCCGCCTCACCCAAGCCCCCGTCCCAGTTTCATCCCCTAACTGTGTAGTTGCTAATAAAAAATACGTTTCTGTTAATTACTGTTTCCATCATGTTCTTTTACAGGAGAGTGTGTTTGAAGGGTAGAAGGGGGTTGGTAATTGGAGAGGACAGTCACCTTTACCAGGGTACAGACACGGGGGCAGGTTCAGCAGAAGGTCACACACACATTGCAGTCACTAGGCACCCTGGTCAGTCTGGGAGGTGGTTTTCATGTTCTGGGGGGGGGGGCGCTATGTGACTTTGTGGCGGGGGAGGGCGGTTAGAGATCTTATGCAGCGGTCCTTATCCTGGATCACAGAGCCATGCAGCAGGGGATCTGTAACCATCCTCCCCCGCCACAAAGTCACATAGCCCCCACACACAGAGTCCCGAAAAGGAGGGGTGGCAGGCTCCGTTGAAACAACCAGTCCACCACTGCGGACCGCTCTAGGAGCAGGAGCCTGTCATTCCTCGAGTTTAGAAGTGTTCTTTCCATCACTACGCCCGCTCGCCACCACAGTCTGCGTCCCAGTTTCAACAGTTTACCGCGAAACCCGTAATAAAGAAAACGGGGTTCATTAACAAAGTTCCATTTATTTTATTTTTAAACGTGGGTTGGAAGGGGGGACGGGGTGAACGGGGTATGTAGCTGGAGAGGATAGTCAACATTAACCGGGTAAAGAAACGGGGGCAGGTTCAGCTTCTCTTTAAAGAAACTTAAAAGTCACTGGTTACCCTGCTCACTGAGGAACCTAGCTTTCAAAGCCTCCCGGATGCACAGCGCATCCCACTGGGCTCTTCTAATCGCATGGCTGTCTGGCTGGGCGTAATCAGCAGCCAGGCTCTTTGCCTCAACCTCCCACCCCGCCATAAAGGTCTCCCCCTTGTTCTCACAGAGATTGTGGAGCACACAGCAAGCTGCAATAACAATGGTGATATTGGTTTCGCTGAGATCAGAGCGAGTCAGTAAGCTTCTCCATCTCCCCTTGAGATGTCCAAAAGCACACTCCACCACCATTCTGCACTTGCTCAGCCGGTAGTTGAAGAGTTCTTTTTCAGTGTCCAGGGCGCCTGTATAGGGCTTCATGAGCCAGGGCATTAGTGGGTAGGCTGGGTCCCCGAGGATCACTATAGGCATCTCCACATCCCCAACAGTTATTTTGTGGTCCGGGAAGTAAATACCTTCCTGCAGCCGTCTAAACAGACCAGAGTTCCTGAAAACACGAGCGTCATGAACCTTGCCCGGCCATCCGACGTTGATGTTGGTAAAATGTCCCCTATGGTCCACCAGTGCTTGCAGCACCATTGAAAAGTAGCCCTTTCGGTTAATGTACTGGCTGGCCTGGTGGGCCGGTCCCAGGATAGGGATGTGAGTTCCATCTATAGCCCCACTGCAGTTTGGGAATCCCATCGCGGCGAAGCCATCTATGATGACCTGCACGTTTCCAAGGGTCACTACTTTTGACAGCAGTAGCTCAACGATTGCGTTGGCTACTTGCATCACAGCAACCCCTACAGTAGATTTGCCGACGCCAAAGTGGTTCGCGACTGACCGGTAGCTGTCTGGCGTTGCAAGCTTCCAGAGGGCTATGGCCACTCGCTTCTGGACAGTCAGGGCTGCTCGCATGCGGGTGTCCTTGCGCTTCAGGGCAGGGGACAGCATCTCACAAAGTTCCAGGAAAGTTCACTTCCGCATCCGAAAGTTTCGCAGCCACTGTGATTCATCCCAGACCTGCAGCACTATGCGGTCCCACCAGTCCGTGCTTGTTTCCCGGGCCCAGAATCACCATTCCACAGCATCAACATGACCCATTGCCACCATGATGTTCACGGCGCGGGGTCCCGTGCTTTGCGAGAGGTCTGTGCCCCTCTCAGACTTAATGTCCTCACCGCGCTGCCGTAGCCTCCTCGCCCGATTTCTCAGCATCTGCCTCTGGAAAAGGTGTACGATAAGGTGCGAGGTGTTGACAACGGCCATAACTGCAGCGATGGTCACAGCGGGCTCCATGCTCGCAGTGCTGTGGCGTCCGCGCTGTCACTCACCAGAAAAGTGTGCAAACTGATTGCCCGCCGGCGCTTTCAGGGAGGGAGGGCGGGAGTGACAGTTGGATGACGACAGTTACCCAAAACCACCCTCGACACATTTTTTTCCCCAGCAGGCATTGGGGGCTCGACCCAGAATTCCAATGGGCAGCGGGGACTGCGGGAACTGTGGGATAGCTGCCCACAGTGCACCGCTTCCAATGTCGACACTTGCCCCGTTAGTGTGGACTCACAAAGTCGAATTACTGTCCTTAGTGTGGATACACACGTTCGACTTCGTAATATCGATTCCACATATTCGATTTAAGTAAAATCGAACTACTCTCGTAGTGTAGACATACCCTCATAGACGTTAATGGATGCATTTATGACATGAGAAATGTTTGAGGCCAATACTACACTCATGAAAGACTACGGCAAAGCTTCCATTAGTTAAAATGGGAGTAGGACTGGCCCCATTCTACATGTTTACAATTTTATTCAGTGTTTCCAATAAAAAATAAATTGTCATGTCTGCAATTGTTTCTTATTTAATCATCAAGTAGACTTTTCCTTCCTGTTTAGGACAGTTGGAATTTATCTTGCAACATCCACGCATATCTCATGTTCATGTTGCCATATTATAACAAGCCTGTTCCTGAAGCTATTACACACAGAACTCTCACAGGCTTTAAAGGAGTTTGGTACGTGAAAAGATGAGAGAATAAATTCATATATCTCAAGAAAACAAAGCTTTTCTTACTGAATAGGATTTCAGAATTCGAGTAGGAAAGCTGACATCATTCAAAACGCTGGTACTGTCATATACGGTACTCTAAAGGTAAAAAAGAAACATAATCTGAAAGAAGTATGCAGTTTAATAAGGGCCAGGTTGTGGCTTGACTCTACACAGTATAAGGGGCAGTCAGACGTATCCCCCCAATCACTTGTGAAGTCTGCCTACAGCTTGACTATAAGGTTGTGGGGAAGAGCAGGTGTTGCATGCCCTGTTCCCAGGGAATGAGTAGAGCATTGGTTCCACCCCCTAACTCACTGGCCACAGCAGATGATCAAAAGGGAAGTAAGGGTCAGCAGCAAATTTCCTCCCCCTGGGAGCAAGTGGGGAGCAGGGAAGGAATCATAGCTCTCTGAATCACAATTGTTTTCTATAGCATCTCAGGAGACCCAAAAAGCACAAATTAGTCCAATGTAAGCATTGTCAATACAACATATTAAGTTTTATATGTGGACACAAAGCATTTTTTTCTCAGAGGAAGAAATTTTCTATATCCTTCACTGAACCATAAATATTTCATATTTTCCCCTACTTTGTATTCTCATCTTTGAGGCTCATATATTTCCATCATTACTAATAAAGGCCCTAAATTGTAATGGAATCCACTCAGAAAACATGAGGCCCCACTCCTTATATTAGGGCCAGATTAAGCCACTCCTTCTCATGTAGTGCAGAACCCTCCTACACAAAGTAGTCCCAAAAGGTGGAAGAATCCAGCCCTTATACAGTTTCTGTTAAGTAATGGAAGACATTCATTCTCACTCATCCCATTTTCCCTCTGGGACTGAATGTGCTGCCCTCACAGCAGTTTCAGCCTTTACTGGCATAGTTAGAGTGGAAATCAAGCCACAGTTTGCTACATAGCTTTGCATAGCAAACAGTATTACCACTGGATTACAAAATGGCATAGATACAGGGCCAGTTTCCCACAGTGCAGCCCATTTGCACTACTACAGTGTTGCAAAAGGGCCATAAACTTGTCAGATTCCCCAGACGAGGATTCTACCAGTGTGGGATATCTATCTCTTATGCCAGCACCTCACCCACTGCAGTTCATGGTACAGGAAGCATCTGTGGGTGTTTGCTTCATTCTGGGAAGAAGCATGTGCTGTTGCAGAAATCATATAAGGTGGGATATTGAAAAGTGCCTATGTCACTTAGGAGCACAAGTGTCATTGACTTTCTAAGTCACTTAAGGTGGTTTTGAAAATCCCACCCACAGCCCCAAATCCTGCACCCAGCACTCAGCCCATGCTACCCATGTTAATACTGGGGAACTCTGCACAGGCAATGTGGGAAGGAATCTACCCTCTTCCTCACGCCTCGGAACAGCAGCAAAGCTTTGCACATAGGCATGCCTGAAGGACAGGGAATGGCTCAGAGTATCTGCACAATTATGGTGTCCTTCAACCACCCTACCTGTCTACTGTCAAAAGTGTCCCAATGGAGTTACGCTGTACAAAAAGCAAGGAATATGGATGCCCTGCATGAGCTCATGGTATCCTGACCATGGTGCACAGTACAGTTATAGTAGTCACACTTTGCACATGGCCCTCTGCACCTTTGGAGATGGGAGAAAATTTGGGCATCATTATATTACAGTAGACGCTCATTAGTAGCAACATATTGGTGCCCTTTTGCTGTTGCTCCTAAGCAGCTGTTGCTGCTGCTGACTAGGGGAGTGTCATCTGACCGAAAGTGTTTGAAGAGTTAAGAGTGTTTCAGAAGGGGTGTGGCAGCTATGTTTTGGAGATGGGGCAGGATTGGATACCCCAAAATTTGGGGGAATGGGCAGGAGCACCCTGTTTTTGGCATGGGAGCCCCCAGTTTGCAAAATGTCTGAGTGAGCCTAGCTGCCAGGGAAAGGCTGAGGATACTTCTTCTGGCAGCTTCATGCCCCACTCTGGCGAGGGCTGGCTGGCTGGCTGGGAGAAGTGTGGAGGTGGCTCCTAGCACAGACAGCGGAGACAGGAGCAGGAAAGCAGACAGGCCAGTGCCCTGGGGATGGAGGTTCCCCGAACCCTCACTGCAAAACAGCACACCCACACCCCGCCACTGGCAACCAAGATGGAGGGGACATCTCAGTGCACGGGGGGCTCCCCCATATGTCCCACTTCAAAACAGCAACCCCCTGCCGCTGCCTGTAAGCCAGATGCTAAACACAGGAGGAGGAAACCTTTCAGCTGTGCCTCTGCTGCTCCTCTGACTCCAGCTTCCCCGCCCCGAAAAATCCCTTCTCTTCCAGATTCTCTCCCCAACATCCCACTACATATGCTCTCCATGCAGGCTGTCAGGCAGGGCAAGTGGATGAGACTCTGTGCCCTGGAGCTGCACTGAAGGGTCAGGAGAGGAGTGGAATGATGCAGTTTGGGGCGGAGAGGGAACACCCTATATGCCCTCCATCTCCACCCCTGGATGTGACATCACAACAGGGATGGTTTAGTTGGGAATTGGTCCTGCTTTGAGCAGGGGGTTGGACTGGATGACTTCCTGAGGTCCCTTCCAGCCCTGATATTCTATGATTCTATGAACGTCATAAATGTTGCTCTTATGTGGCGTCTATGTTACTGTTACCGAGTAGACAATTCACAGTAGGGAAAGAGTTCCCAGGGGAAATATTGCTTTTAAGCGGCGATTGTTCTTGCAAGGTGTTGCTGCAAACAAGTGTCTCCTGTACCTTGATTTCTCTTATTTATTGTTCTGAATCAATTACACAATTAAATATAAAATTATTACATAAAGATGAAGTCACTAGTACTTAGTCAACATAAAGAAAGAAGGGGAGAAGTGATCTGTTTAAACACACATGCTTAAGAAAACAAACAAAAATGAAATTAACGAATTGTAGTTCTTAAGGGAAAACCTACTTTCTTCCTCCTACAGCAGTCTTCATTAGACCTAGCTGAAATGATCACAGTAGTTGCCATGAAGATTTCCAGCAGAATTAGCAGAATCAAGTTGAAATTTATCTGCCAACAGAATCCCATATCAAACTGCATTAAATAAGTAATATTAAAAACATAACTGTGTCTATACAATTTTAGCAAACTGTTAACCCATGATTAATAAGTTCCTATTGTTCTTTCATATCAGTCCTGCTTTCTAAATGATCAAAGTTATACCTTGTCTCTGACATATATCTTGCATACCATGCTTCTTGAAGAAAATCAGAACAGGCAGATTTCAGAAGCCTTCTTTTGGGCACTGAAATTGATCTTCCTCACTGTGTCATGTTTAGGTCTAGGCATATTGTGATCCTTGACACATTTAGCTTCTAGAGAAAGTGGTAGCATAAAGAACAACAAAATAATAAAGATACTATTTGGCTGAAGTATCAACTTCATATTTTAAAAGAGATATTTCTAAACTTTAGAAGAAATCCTCACCGAAACTACCACCTGCCTCTGTAAATGCTACATCTGGCTAGGGAGGGTTTCAAATCTTACAATGTTTTAGGAAAGGATTTTGGAAATACATGAATTCACTGCTCATGATCCTCCTCTGTGGCTGAGGAGCATGCAGTGCCACTTGGAGAAAGGGGGTAGGTAACAAACGTGACAAAGCCACCTTTGCACTTGACAGATCCTGGGCCAGTTATCCACAAGACTGTTGTCCCAGCATAAATCAGAGCTGCCTGAAGGTGTGTCTAACTTGTATTGGCTGCCAATGGTCCAAAAAGACTGATATAGCATCCAGAGAGTGCCAGGATGCAGGGAGATCCCAGTCACATACCCTTTTTCTTGGCCACGCTTCTTATGCTAACAGCTGAGGAAGAATGTGGTGGTGCAGGCAAACTCTTTAGATATGTTTACACAGCAAAGACGAACCTGTGGCTGGCCTGTGCCAGCTGACTCGGGCTCATGGAGTTCGGGCTGCGGGGCTGTTTCATTACTATGAAAACTTCCAGGCTCAGGCTGGAACCAGGCTGGAATCCTCCAATCCCACAGGGTGCTAGACCCCAGGCTCCATCCCAAGCCCAGAAATCTACACAGCAATGAAATAGTCCTGCAGCCTGAACACTGCGAGCCCAAGTCAGCTAGCACAGGCCAACCATGGCTGTCTAGTTCCTGTGTAGACATGCCCTTTGTCACCAGAAGATTCCCATTCGCTGGGATGATCCACAAATGGCTGGCTACGCTAACTCCAGGGCTATTTTGCACTGGGGAAGCACCACAAAGCAGCCACAGCACAGCCTGGGATTGGCCCACATACAGTATTTATTTTAACATTTACAACATTTTTTTAAAAGTTATCTGTGAAGATGAGTAACATTGCTGAAGAATAACAAAGGCCCTCCACAGATGGTGTTGCTTTAAGTCATAAAGTGCTTTGAATTAAACAGAGATTTAATATTTTTGAGTCCAATATCCTCCAAATTATTAGCAATATACCCATGTCAGACCTAATGACTAATAGTTCCCTGTGCGGTTTCCATGAGCCATATAATGAATCATCAGAGAGATATTATAATGGTTATGAAATGGGCAAGTAGAGAGGCTAGAATAAACTATTTGTCTCATGTACTGAAGTCTCTTTGCACTACATAGCCAGTGCAAAGCAGCCGTTAAGGTGGCATAGCTGGCCTTGAGAGGATCACACCAGTGTAAGGAGATCCTCCAGTAGTATAGAACCATCCTAGCACCATAGATCAGCCTGGTGCACAGCCAGTCCAGGATCAGAGAAGCACAAAAATCCACACCTGCAGCTGAGGATCTGGGCCACAGAATCAATATGCAATTTATCTGTTTTCAGATGTCTTGTAAAAGTATGACAAATCAGCCAAAGATGTCTTGTGATTGTCATACTAGACTATAGAATTTGGCAAATAGGAAATTACATTTGTTTGGGTTATAAATTTACCTCTCTCTAACTTCTATATGTTTCTAAATTTCTAACACTATACCCAAATTCCACTCCCCCCCACCACACACACACACACATACACTGTATTTTAATCTGCACTGAAGTCTCTGAGGTGGCAGTATGGCTGAGTGGATAGAACACTAGCCTGAGGGATGTGGGCTCAATTCTGAGCTCTACCACTGGCCTGTTGGTTGATCATGGATAATTCACGCCCCCTTTCTGTGCCTCAGTTTTCCCTTCTGTAAAATGGGGATTATGACACCTCCTTTGTAAAGTGCTTTGAGATATACCGATGAAACGCACTATATAAGAGCTAAGTATTATTACTATGATCAAAATACTTTAATCTCACTACAGTTGACAGTACACAATTACCATGCAACTTGAAAAAGAAATGGTTACGTACCTGTACAGTAACTTTTGTTCTTCTAAATGTTTTGTGCACATATAAATTCTACTGCAAGTGTATGTGCACCCAATGCACTCGAGTCAGAGACTTGCCAGCAGTACAACTAAATTGTGCATGTGCTTTTGTTCTCCTCATGCACTGAGTCTAGGGCATTGTCTACCACCTCCTTCTCCATTTTTTCGCACCGCTGTGTGTCTAGTGTCTGCAGTAGTGGTCATGGAAAGTATATGTGCACAACACATCTTGAAGAACAACAGTTACTGTACAAGCAAGTAATCTTTTCCCTCTTTGGAATGATTGGACACATATATTTTCCACTGCAGGTGACTCATCAGCAGTTCCCTTCCAGGTGGTGGGACTTTGGATCATCTGCACAGAGACTCTAGCACGAACTTGACAAAGTTGGCATTGTCATGAGAGGCTTGAGCGATGGCGAAATGTCTAGAAAAGGTATGTACAGATGACCACGTTGCTGCTCTGCAGATATCTGTTATCAGAGTGATGCTGAGGAAAGCTGATGACGTGGACTAAGCCCTGGTGGAGTGAGACATAATGCTTGGTGGAGGAGAGACTTTAGAAAGATCATAGGAGAGTTTAATGCAGTCAGAAATCCAGTCGGAAATACGCTGAATTGACACTAGATGGCCTTTACTCTCTTAGCATACACTACAAAGAGTCAGGGAGATTCTCTAAAGCAGTGTTTCTCAAGCTTTTTGGTAACAAGGACCGGCTTGCTGCCTTCTGAAACTGTCAGGGAGATCTCAGGGACTGGCACAAGTTCAAGGACCAGTCATTGAGAAACACTGCTCTAAACGTAGTGTGATCTAGATAGAATGCCAAAGCTGGAGTAGCCAGATGGGATGATGGCCCATTAAAGGAAATCCACTCCCGACGCCATCCCAGAAGACTTCTCAGAGACAACACACAGACAATGGAGACTGCTTGACCAATACAGACTGCCTGATCCCCACATCAAAAGATCTTTCCAGCAAGCTGGAAGAAACTATAAAAGAGGGGAAGTGACATTATGACTTGGCCTCACTCACCCCACACTCAACATCTGGAAACACATCTGGAGAACAAAGACTTTGAACTGGGGAGGCTGGTCCCAAGCTAGAAAAGCATCCCAGCCTGTGTATTGAGGAACCATACCATCCTTCAAGATGAGACACTGTGTGATTCAAATCATGTTTAGTGTGTAGAACTCAGACTGCGAATTTATTTTTGTTTCTTAAGTAACCAACTTTGATCTCTGTGCTTGCTACTTATAATCACTTAAAATCTATCTTTCCGTAGTTAATAAATCTGTTTTATATTTTACCTAAAACAATGTGTTTTGGTTGAAGTGCTTGGGAAATCTCAGCTCAGTTTACAAAGGCTAGTGTGTGTCCTCTCCACATTGAAGGAGGGGCGGACTGGGTAATGAACTTACACTGGTCAGGCTTCTGACCAGAGCAAGACAGTACAGTTCTGGAGTGCAAGGCTGGGGAGCTGGGGGGAATTGGCTGGAGCCTCTCTATTGTTGGTTCATGAGTGGCTGGGGAAAGCATTCATGTAACTCAGTTGGGTGTAGCCCTGCCTGTGGATGTCTGTGTAAGTTCAGTACCTGCCAAAGGTTTGTGGATTAACAACAGCATCACAGCATGAGACGGATACCCTAGGTTGGTGAGACAGAGGGCTCAAGAGCCCAACAGTCCAGGTTTCACCCCGGGAACCCCATCACATGCACCCAGACTGAAAATCTCTTTCACTTTCCTGTAGTGGCTCTACTGGAAATCTTTTCTGCTGCTCACTAAAATAGCTTGGACATCTCAGAAGCACAATCTCTCATGAGTATGCAACCAGTGATCGGCTATACCATGAGGTGAAGAGACTGCAAGTTGGAATTCCGTGACTTGCTGTGGTTCTGAGACAGGAGATTTTGAATAGGGATAGAGTTATCAGAGACTGGACAGAAAGTCGATGTAGGTCTGTGAAATACTACTGCCTTGGCCAAGTTGGTGCCACTAGGATTAATGTTGCCTTGTCTCTTTTCTGTTTCTTGAATACCCTTGGAATGACAGGAACTGGAGAAAATGTATATAGTATGTGACTGGACCATGAGATAAGAAAGGCATCCATCAGGGATTCTTGGCCCACCCTTGAGCAAATTGTTTTGCAATTATTGTTCAGGTGATCATTAACAAATCTAGTACTGGGTATCCCCTTTGACGGATGATCTGGAGAAGGATGTCCTTCTTCATTGACCACTCATGGTGGTCTATGAAATCCTTACTGAAGGAGTCTGCAGTAGTGTTCCTCACTCCCAGAAGGTGGAAAGCTTGCAGGGAAATTTTGTTTCTTTTGCATAGATTCCAAGCTGGATAGCCTCTTGGCATAGCTGAATTGACCTTGCACCTCCCTGCCTGGTGACATGAAACATAGCAGAGGTATTGTCTTTGTGGACTTGCACCACTTGGTTTTTGACAGTGAACATAAATGTCTTGTGGACCTGACAAATAGCCTGGGGCTCTCTAGGTTTATGTGCAGAGACTTCCTGAGGTGACCAAAGAGCTTGCACCCAAAGTGGACCAAGATGGGCTCTACAGCCTATCATAGATGCATCTGTTTCTAAGGTCAGTTCTGGAGACAGAAAGGGAACTCCTTTGCACACATTCCCCATATTCAACCAACTGTCCAGAGACTGAAGCACTTACA